TAACACAGAGGCAGAGGAAGAAGAATAATGGCATTTACACGAAGGACCATTGTCGACGGCTCATATATTTATGCATAGTTATGCATATGTGTACGAGAATATATATATATATATATATATATGTACTATCAACAATATATATATATATATATATATATATATATAAATATATATGCTTGTATGTATATATGTATGACTAGCATGGCACAGGAAAGAGAGACGGAAGGCACATGAATATAATTATATGTACGCGTCCAGAGCTTTTTTCCTAGAGAGGTATGCAACATGTGGGGGGATGGCAACACACTAGTTAGTATATAATAAAAAGGAGACAGGCACAAGGTTACATACGGATAAGTATATAAATAATTACGCATCACTCTGAAGATACACGTGAACACAGACACTCCTGAATATATATATATATATATATATGTATGTGTGTATGTGTATTTATTCACTCATTTCTCCCGTTCATTTTGACAGATATCCTAGAGGGGTGCTCGCGACAAACCCACAGCATCAGCCTCCGGCTTCTCATTAAAAGAATAAGGTCTGAGCAGACATACATACGCAGACGTAGAGGTAGATATGTATATGTATATATATATATATATATATATATATATATATATATGCACATACATACTTATCTGGCACCATCCATATATGTGTCGACATCTGTGAACACATGTATGACGCGGTAGATAGACCATTATATATGTATATATATATGTACGCTAAACCGTATACGTGTACGTATATATATATATATATATATATATATCGACTTATTCGACATACAAGGCCAGGAGTGAGTGCCGCCATGCGCTCGGCCAGCGCGAGAGGATCGAGAGCCGGCGAAAGCTTCAGCGGCTTCAAATGGACCTGCACACAGCCCAGCACACGCAGGACACGCACATATATATGTATACATATACAGGTAGGTATATACACATATATATATATATATATATAGAGAGAGAGAGAGAGAGAGAGAGAGAGAACAGACACATGATATGTATGTATGTACACATGTACTCTTCATCCCTTGATACAGATAGACATGCAGCTTCAGCGGGCTTGAAGAGACTTACGAGCAAAACAGAGCACGCAGTCTACACCGAGTCAGATATGACCAATGCACAAACGCATACGTAGACCTGTATAACGCAGGCGTGCACATGTATGTTTTCACGCGTATGTACCGACATATATGCACGCAGATATGCGTGCATATATATGTATATATATATATATATACATCTCTCTCTATATATATATGTATATACATATATATGTGGACAGCTTTAAGCGCTTCGAGCCGGCCTCCACGAGGCGCGAGGCCCAGAACATGCAGCACGCATATATATATATATATATATATATATATATATATATATATAAGCATCCGCAGCGCGTATGTACTTAGGCCTCCAGGTTTACATATGTATGCATACACATAGGCGTATACCCATATACATACATATATATATACATATATATATATATATATATATATATATATATATATATATGAATATTCACATTATACGTATGCATATATATGTATATACAGACATATATTTGCACACAGCTTCAACGGCCTTAGCCGGGGTTGCCAGAGACCCAGCACATGCAATACAGACGTAAGTATACATGTATATGCATATACATAAATATTTAAATATATACATATGCATATAAATATATATATATATATATACGTATACATATATATATATATATATATATATATATATATATATATATATGGCCTGAAAGAAAGAGAATAGTGAATGCGTGGCACACATGCGCTCTTTCATAAGATGTGAGACGACAAGGAAAAAGCAAAAATAAAGATGTTGCCAGCAGGAAACCGCCAACATCCGAAGAGGAGATGCATGCGTGCGTCCCGAACGTGAATACCTTGGAGCGACGTATGCGAGCAAGTATGCATATATATGGGCGTATAGCTGCATAAGAAGGTACGAGTCGATTATACATACACGTACACATGCGTTCATAGATGCATATACATATATATATATATACGTATATGTACATATATATATATATATATATATATTTATATATATACACTGTTATGCAGGGTCCACGCGCCATACATACATATTTGTTTATATGCATGTACAGAGCTAGGGTGTGATATATAAACTGCCAGACTGATCTGTATATATATGTACATATATACGTATTACATGTGTACATTCACATGAACCTAGAGACGTGTGTAGACATATGGATGTGTAGAGTTACATGTATGCAGAAACATATTTGTCGGTCAGGTTGAGTACGTGTATTTGCTTGGTGCCCTCTGTAAAATTGCAATTACATCCGTACGTATATACACATATGCACATATATATACATATTCATATATGCACATGAAGTCAAACTATGTACACAGTCTACTATCAGACTTCAGGAACAGATACACATATACACATAAAAAAAGAAAACCATGTGAATTTATAAGCAGAGTTACACAGATATGCAGGAACATATACATATATATATATATATATATATATATATATGCTGAACGAGATTAAAACATACCCTGGAGATATGTATGTACATGTAAGTTGAGACCTACATATAAATATATATATATATATACCTATATACGTGTAACTCTGCTTACACATACATATAAATATGTATATATATACGTATATCTTAAAGGTATGCTTTCTTTTCATTCAGCACGTATAAATACGGTAACTGAAAAGAAAACCAACCTTGACCACACAGGTATACATGTAAGTAGAGTCGTACATACATGTATACACATATACGCAGAATGAAACGAAAACATACCTTGAAGATGTATATATAAATGTAAGTATACCTATATGGATATGTAAACCCGTACACATACACACGGATATATATATATATATATATATATATATATATATATATATATATATATATAGACGCAGAATGTAAAAACAACCAACCTTGAGTGTACATACATATATGTAAGTAACACGAACATTATATGTATTAATACATAGATCTATAGGCTGAACGAAAACGAAACATACCGTGAAGGTACATGTATGTATGTAAGTAGAGTTATATCGACACATCCAGTCGCAAAAATATATACACGTATATATATATATATATATACATATATATCTATCTATCTATCTATATCTATATATATATATATATGTACATATACATATATATACATATACGCGGAATGAAAGAAAGACCTACCTTGAATATATCTTTTCTTTCATTGACATCTGGGCGGCGCAGTTGTACTACACGATCAAAGCGGCCTGGCCTTTTCAGTGCTTCGTCCAGTAAGTCTTCTCTATTAGTACCTGCGTCGTTCGTTAGCATATACACGTATACATGTAGATATATACATATATGAATATAGATATATATATACGAAGGCATATTTAGACATATATATATATATGTACATAAGTCCATCTAGATACACGTGTATACATGTATACGTGTACACGGCGTATACTGTACAACGTTTATTAGTATATGCGTACGTATATCTGTATGCATATACACGTACATATATACGTTCGGACAGACCTGCAAGTACAGCTTTTTGCCGCCTACACAACCACTCAACAATACATATATTATTGCTCAAGACTCTGTTCTCGCGTAAAAAGCCACATACTTATGTATACATGTATATACTTACATATATATATATATATATATACATATGTATATATATATGTATGTATATATATACACAAATATCGTAAAAAGACGTTGATGTATATAGATATATTTGTATAGGGTGTATACTGTACACCAGCTACACACATATATGCATAAATGTGCATATTGTATGCACATACATATATGTATAAGTATAGATATATACGTGTGTACATACACTTATATATGCACAGTGATATATATACGTGTATGTATACATACCTGCACGTACAACTAATGATGGTCTCGCGTTCCTACGAGCAGTTCAACTGTGGGTTTGTTCTCCTTCACTATTCCCGAGTGAAATACCTCTCTTGCCCCCCACCAATCTCGTCAGTGATACTGGCACTTATCACTTTGTTCTCGCTTAAAAAACTGTGTATATACATATATATTATGAGTATAATCAGATATAGACAGATGCACTTGCATACGGCGTGTACTGCACAGCAACTACGTATATACACGTATATATATTTATGTATCATATGAAGAGATATACTTGGACAGATATACTTGCATATATATATATATATATATATATATATATGCGCATATAGTTATATATATATATATATATATGTATATATATATATATGTATATATATATATATATATATATTCTCGCATAGGCATACCTGCAAGTACGACTACGGAGGTCTGGGGAGTAAATCCGTCCATTTCTACAAGCAGCTGGTTGAGGGTTTGTTCTCTTTCACTATTTCCAAATGAAGTACTTCTTTTGCCGCCCACGCTATCAATTTCATCGATAAATATGATTGCTGTACAGATACACACATCACACAAAGAAGGCATATAACAAATACCTGTTGTACAACAATAAAATATACGAGGAGATCTCATATCACCAAGTACGATATATCCACACCATACAAAGAAGGCATATAACACATAAATGTGGTTAAATGATGAAAATAGTAGTAGACGTCTCACACTGATGATTGAGACTGCCGTACATATACACACACCATGCAAAAAAGCCATACGACATACAATGGCTGCACCATAGTGCATGATAACAAAGACATGCGTGAAAGCTGCATATCAACAAATATGATTGCTGGACATATACACACAGCATGCAAAGATGGCTCAGAACAAATAACTGTTGTGTGATAGTAAAGAGGTTAGTAGAAATCTCATAACAATACAAAGAAGGCATATAACATACAACTGCTGTATAATTTAAAAGATAGAAGAGAAACTCTCATACCAATAAGTATGATTGCTGTACAGATACACACACAGTAGAAAGAGGCAGCATACAAGGATGGATAACTGAATGAATGGATGAACGAGACAGGAACAAAACCATGTGCGCTTGTCTCTGGATACGTCTCCACACATAGAGAGGAGAAACAAGAAGGGAAAGAAGCAGAAGACGAAAAACAACAAGACGAAGAAGATACAGCAAAAAAAGAAGAAAAAGACAGTATCAGAAAGAGAGTCGTAGCCACATACGTACGTCTCTCCATACACATGCAAGATGGTGACATAAGCAAAAGAAGAAGAAAAGGGAAAGAATACCAGAAAAAAGAAAACAAAACCAATAGACGCGTAGGGTGGTAAGGATAATGGTATTACGTAGACACGCACAAATGCACGCGAGTATATATATATATATATATCTATATACATAAATAAACAGACTTACGTATATATTTATATGCTGGAGGAGGGGATGAGAACAGAAGAAATAGAAGAAGAAAGAAGAAGAAAAGAAGAAAAAGAAGAAGAAGAAGGAGAAGTAGGCGAAGAAGGACAGACGCAGAAAGAAGAAGAAGAAGAACAAAAAGAAGAAGACGGAGAAAAAACAGAAAGAAATAGATATAACACGAGGATAACAACGATAGTAGAAGTGGCAGATATAGATATGTCAAGCATGCGAGGAGCTGTTCTCCGCGCCCCCTCAAATAGCTTTCGTACGCGACTGGCACTAACACCAACAAATAATTCGACGAAATCGCTGCCGTTAACAGAAGAGCACATGTGTAATACAACAATAATGGTAACGGTGAAAGCACTGATAGTATACATAGATATGTGCTACTACCAAACATATATAGTACGATAACAGTAATAGAACCGGCGAAAGCAATAATAGTAGACATAGATACGTACTACTATTATACATATAGAATACAATAAAAGTAAGAATAACGGCGAAAGCAATAATAGTAGACGTAGACATCTAATACTATTATATATATACACAGATATGGTAGACGTAGACATGCAATACTATCATATATATATAGATAGATAGATAGATAGATAGATAGATAGATAGATAGATAGATAGATAGATAGATATGTAGTACTACCATACATATGTAATGCGGTAATAGTAGTAAAAACGATGAAAGCAATAATAGTAGACATACATATGTACTACTACTACTATGCATATGTAATACGATGATATTAATAATAACGGTGAAAGCAATAATAGTAGACGGAGATGTGTAAAACATACAAGGAGCTGTTTTTCGCGCTTCTTCAAATAGTTCCCGTACGCGGCTGGCACCGACGCCGACAAATACTTCGACGAAATCGCTGCCGCTGATCGAAAAGAAGGGGACTCCTGCCTCCCCTGCTACTGCCTGCACACATCAACACATATACACACAAAGAGAGGACAAAGGGCAAAGGTAGAAAAATGCAGGAGAAGAAGCGTATATAGGCGATAACACGAGCGAAAAACACAAGACGGAGATATACATATATATAGATAGGTGTATATATATATATATATGTATATGTATATATATATATATATATATATATATATATATATATATGTGTACATATATGTGACACGTGTATATGCATATACATGGTAAACAGAGAGAGACGGAGAGAGAGAGAGAGAGAGAGAAGAAAAAAACGACAAGGCGTATACGTAGATACGTAGAAGCACGTACAGACACACAGAGAAATACAGAGAGAGGGTCAGAATAGGAAGAAATAAAGAACAGAACAGGACTTCTGCCTCTGCTGGTAGTGCCTGCGCACACCCGCACATGTACACAGATAGAGAAAGAGAAACAACAACAGATTGAGGAAGCTAACAACGACGAATATATATGCGGTAATGAAAAACACCGTATGCACACGTTACACATATATATATATATAAGAAAAAGGCGGATACACACGTGCGTACATATGTATGTCTATGTATGTTCATATATATATATGTATATATATACATTTACTGTGTGCCTGGTGTATAGAGAGAGAGATAGAGAGATAGAAAGAAAGAAAGAGAGTCTCTGCATACACACGCCCACATAGAAATAGTGTACGTATATATACTTCATGAGAATACGTATACATGGATGTACATATATATGTATGTATATGTATATACTTATACATATATATATATATATATATATGTATATATATATATATATATATATATATATATATATATGTGTGTACGTGTAAGCGCGTCTATATACATGTACGTGTATATATCAGGCATACGTATACACATACATGCATATATACACATATTTGCATACTGCCAGGTGTACGTCTACACAAAATACATACGTATGTACAGATTTGAAGGCACCTATTCTGCAGCCGCCAGTAGAATAACATACACATGCGTACATATATACATACATGCATATGTATCCATGTAAATGTGCATCGATGTATATACGCATGTCAGACATATGTACATACATATATATATATATATCGCTGCGGAATCTACATATGCATATGCTTACTTATTATAGGTAGTAGAAAAAGGGGAAAACAAAATGAGAACCGGAACAATCCTGGCACTGATAGAACAAATACGTACACATATATATATGTATATGGATATGTGTACGTCTGTACACATTGATATGGGAATAAATGTAGATATATATATAGACATATATATATATACACAAACATATTTATCTATCTATCTATATATATATATATATATATATATATATATCCGCAATACATATATATGTATATATATGCACATATATATATGTAGATGTGGAGTCTGCACATGCATATCTTTGCGTGCTATAAGTTGTATAAGAAGGCGAAAACAACATTGAAAAGCAGAACAACTGGGCACTTGTAGAGCATACACATACATCTTCACACATGTACGCATATGAATATATATATATATATATATATATATGAAAGAAAAGAATGAAAGAAAAAAAGAAGCATATTTACCTTCGCAAGAAGAGTTTTTCCCGTCCCGGGAGGACCGACTAGCAGGGCCCCTTTCGGTAATTTAGCACCGAGACGCTGAAATGTCTGCGGATGTTTCAAAAACGAAACAAATTCTGTGATTTCCCTTTTTGCTTCAACCAGACCTGCAGAGAAAAACAATGTATATATATATATATACATATAGCAGTGTGCATACAAACAAATACGTATATCTCCATATGTATATCTATACAGGTACATACATAGACATATGTATATATGTATATATATATATATATATATATATATATATATACATCACAAAAGCAGAGGCATCCATAGTCACGACCACACAAAGGGACTATACAGGAAAAAATCCTGTGGTTCCTCTACAAACACAGACTAAAATAAAGTGTCTATAGACATATATGACAATGTGCATACGGATAAATACGCATACACACACATATTCACGTACATGCACACACATATGTTTAGGTATATAATTGTTTGTGGGCTGCATATATATATACATATACATATATGTATAGAGTTACGAAGATGCATGGTCACTTCTCTATTGGCTTCTGCTACAGCTGCACGGAAACAATTTGTATAACCAGATATATGTATATATATATACATATATACACGTACATACATATATATATGCGTTCGTGGAGGTCACCGCCGTTACTACTATTGGGTCACTTATCCTGACTATTATCGGGAGAGATAACAGTAGCAACTCTCTTCTTTTCGGATGTATGTACACCTTACGCCACAGCCACAGTGGTCGTGTATTCAGTTTACGCAGGAAATTTCGCTTTGTGCACAGCGCACATAAATATATATCTGCATAGATATATATATATGTATGTAATCGGATATAAAATTACATGTATGTTCATACAAATGTGCGTGCGTATACATATACATATATCTATTTATATATATATATACATGTATATATATATATGTATAGCTGTACCTACGTATGTATATAATCTCCTTTGTAGAAAAGACAAATTCATTACTATCTAGGGGTACATGAAAAAGACATGTTTTTGACCTGGTGCTTCCACTAGCTGTACGGATAGGAGACGAAAGGTAAATGCATAGATACGAATTTGAATAGATACGTATATATGCATATATATATATATATACATATATGCGCGTAGGTAGACAGATACATAAATATATAGCACCAGCAAAAACGAGACTATTATCCTTGAAGCACGTAACATCAGCTGATCCAGCAACCTCCTCTAAAGAGAGAAAGAGGACAGACAAAGACATACGCACGTATATATACATATATCTATACACAGAGATATCTGTATATATATGCATATATACGCATATAAATATATATATATATATATATATATATATATATATGTATATATGCACAGGTACGTATGTATACCTTGTTACTACAATTATTATCGACGTCCTAACAATAGACACAGACCCTACCGTCTCTCATTCTGCTTCTGCTACCAGCAGCAGCTGCTGCAGCAGTCCCAGCAAGTGGAGCAGAAGCTGCAGCAGCAGCTGTAGCAGTACCAGCGGGTGCAGGAGCAGTAGGAGCAGCAGCAACAGCAGCCGCAGCAGCTGTAGCAGTACCAGCAAATGCAGCAGCAGCAGCCGCAGCAGAAGAAACTGTAGCAGTACCAGCACGCGCAGCAGCACCAGCAGCAGCAGCAGCACCGGGGGCAGCGGCAGCAGCAGCAGCAGGTGTAGAAGGAGCAGCGGGGGGAAGAGCAGCAGCAACAAGTGCAGCAACCACAGCAGCGCGTGTAGAAGCAGGAGCAGAAGCAGCACGTATAGAAACAGCAGCGGCAGTACCTCAAGAAGCAGCACTCGGAGCAGGAGGCGCAGCAGGTAATAGAAAACGAGAAGGAGGAGAAATGCCTCACCTGCAACGTCGGAAAAACGGACTTTCACCTGCGAAGCAAGCAGCAGCAACAACCACAAAAGCACACACACAGCACTCCACTAAGGCGGCAACACCCCCAGCGTCGACAGGAGCAGTAGATGTAGCCGCAGCAATATCATCAGCAGCAGCAGCACTGGCAGTGGCTCGAGCAGCAGTAATAGCAGCTGCTGCTGTTGCTGCACTTGTAGTAGCTCCAGTGGAGCAGCAGCAGTAACAGGTGGCTCTGCAAGCGCACCCGCCATAACTCGAGCAGGAGCACCAGGAGCAGCAGCAGCAGCAGCAGCAATTTGAGCAGCAGCACTAGCAGCAGCAGCAGCAGTAGCTGGAAGAGCAGCAGCGGCGGGCGTGTCCAGCTCGAGCACCAGCAGCAGCAGCAGCAGCAGCGGTAGCTCCGGCAGGAGGAGCAGCACCAGCAGCTTGAGCAGCAGCACGAAGAGCAGCAGCGGCGGGCGTATGCAGCTCGGGCGGCAGCAGTAGCAGTAGCTCAAGCAGCAGCAGCAGCAGTAGCTCAAGCAGCAGCAACAGCAGCTTGAGCAGCAGCAGCAGCAGACTGAGCAGCAGCAGCAGCAGCAGTAGCAGCAGCGGCGGGCGTTCCAAGATCGAGCTGCAGCAGCAGAGCAGGAGTTCAAGCAGCTGGAGCAGCACCGGCAGTACTTGCTGCATTTGTTGCAGCTGCTTCACCACTGCGCCCCGTAATATAACCAAACCACCGCGTCTCTCTCACTATATACGTATGCGTACGTGTATAATCTGTAGATATATCAATATACACAGACTCACACACAAGAAACATGTATCCTGTAGTACCTTCTTCTTATAATACCTCTTTTTCTTTTTCCTCTCTCCCTTCCTTTGCAAAGCACATGCATGCCGACATATACTGCCACAACCACTTATATGTATCTGTATATATATATATATATATATATATATATATATATATATGTATATATGTATATATATATATATGTATATACTTACGCTAAGAGACAGCCGCATCCACATACCAGAAACAAAAGAAGAGGACGAAACCACATTGGTACAAAACAGCGCACGTATGTATGTATTCATATACATATACATACATATGTACAAATATATATGTATGTGTTCTGCCTCTACCTCCGCTCTAGCTCTCTCAATAGATCTGAGCAGCGGCTGAGACCCCCGTCACCACCCACAACATATATATACGTATATATATGTATATATACATATGTGTATGAACATATATGGCGCTCTCTCAGCAGCATTTGAAACGAGTAGACACGTACGCCGCTGAGGCCTCCTCCGTCATCTAGCAACGGTAACAATATACATATATATATATACGTATATGCATATATATATACATATATATATATATATATATATATATATATATATGTATATATATATAGTACAGCCACGGGAACACAAAATATCCAGTTTTATACTATCAATACAGGAGAGACGTCTCTGTGTATATACACTTGTACACATGTACTATACCGTCTCTGCCTTGACTCTAGCTCTCCTGGAAGAACTACTACCGGGAAGGCGGTCTCAGCCGCTGGAACCTCTTCCACGCCTAGTTACAAATATACATATATACATATATGCATATATGTATATATTTCTAGGGACATGTACATACATATGCATGCAGACGAAGTCACATACATGCCAGTACAAACAGGAGAACACGATATCTACATTTATACATGATTAGGCCAGAGTAGACGGCTCTACTTATACACAAAGATACATATATATGTACACATGTCTAGATAGGTATATACATACCGTTCCTGCCTTAGCTCTAGCTTTCTTAGAGAGAGTCGCACTGACAAGGTGACTTCCGCCGCTAAGACAACTTCCACCACCTACTTACCCATAGATATATGTGCACATATATATATATATATATATATATATATATATATATATGTTTATGTGGACATATATATACGTGCATGCAGAAGAAGCCACGTACACGCACGTACAAATGGGAGAACATGATGCCTACGATAACGTCCGATTAATACAAAGTATAGGCCTCTCTCTCTCTACATATATGCATATATATATATATATATACACCCATATATGTACATATGTATGTATACCGTTTCTGCCTTGACTCTAGCTCTTTTAGAAGTACTGGCACCGAGAAGACGGTTCAGGCCGCTAAGTCCTCCGCCGCCAGCGCCACCCGGTGGAAATTGTCCTCCACCACCTCCACGGCTGCAGCAACAACGACGACACCAGCAGCAACACCAGCAGCATACGATGCATACGGATAAGCACATACTCATGAAAACATGTGTACATAAGTATATACATGCAGCAACAACGACGACACTAGCGGGAAAGACGGCAGCTTATGATATATAAGGGTAAGCATCTACTTGTGAAAACATGTACACCCCAAGTATATATACAGATATATATATATATATATATATATCCAAGAGGCATATGCAGGAAGCATAAAAAAGCAGCATAGCTGCACGAAGATCTACAGATGTATATGGGCGTGTGTATATGTGTAGAAGACGTGTATGAATAAGAAACAGTAGATACGTATAAAGTGCAGAAGAACAGCAGCATGTATACGTGTGAAGTGTAAGAAAGCGAAGCAGCGAAACACATGATATGCAGAAGCGAAAGCAGCACATATATATATTTACGAATATATATCTCCCTACATGTTGGATGCGTAGGAAAGGAAGCAGCAGCACCTATAAAACGCCTAAGAAGAAGAAGCAGCAGCAGCACATATATGGTGAACGTAGCCTCCATACGTATTCTACTTTGTTGGGCAGTAGCGCAGAAAAGAAAAGCCGCAGAGAAGAGATGTTGCATATAATATATGTAGAGCTTTGTGCAGTATTAAGAGCAGCCGAGGGCAAAGAAGCAGCGGGAAACGTATATATATACATACATATACATATATATTGCTTCAGCTACGCGCATGTGCGTACTTGTGTATGCTGTGCAGTAGCAGCAGCAAGAGCACTAGGAAGGGCAGACAGCAGAGTATTTGACATGCGTCAATTACGCGTATACATATATATATATATATATATATATATATATATGCGTATACATGTAGATGTATGTGTCGCGCAATAGCAGCAGCAACAAGAGCGAGAAAAAGAAGTGCATATATTAATATATACGGAAACAAGCATACCGTACATACACTATGCGTATATACATGTATATGTATGCACAGTGATAACTGCATCACAAGCGCCTGTAGCAGCAGCAGTTCATAGTACTGTCGCTGGAAAGCTGCAACATCATCTTTTCCCTGCTGCACTTGCAAATGCTGCTCCTGCTTCTTCCCGTAGACATATACCTGCTGCCGCTGGTACTGCTATTGCTATTGCTGCTGCTAGTACTGCTCTTGCTATTGCTGCTGCTGTCACAGCCGCTGGCGTTGCTGCTGCTGCTGTTATTGTAATGGCTATGGCTGCCACTATTGCTATTGCTGCTACTGCTATGGCTGGTGCTAGTGCCGCTGCTTGTTTCACCCTCAATGCACAGGGGCTGCTGCTGCCGCTGCCGCGATTATTGCTGTTGCAGCTGGGATGCCCATGTACATGTATATACACATATATATATATATATATATATATACATATACATAGGTATATATGCACAGGTTTATAGGTATATGTACGCTGCTGTTTCTCCTTCTTTTCTACCTCTTTTCTTCTTCTTCTTCTTCTTCAATACGAAACTGCCACTAGCTGCCCCGCGCCTGCGTCTGGAATGTTGTGGCTGTTGCCGCTGTTGCTGCTGCTGCTCTTTCTTGTGAGGCCGTATGACTGACCGCATGCGAGCGAAAATCAGATCTCTCGCGACGTTGACGAGGAGTAAAAAGAAGAAGGCAGAAGCGAGGAGATCTAGTATACGTATCTCTCTTTGGTCTTCTATATATACGGGCAGATAATCCCGAGGATGTATACCTAGAGAAGCCTGCACATATTCGGCCACATCAACACGACCATCATCATCATAACGAACATGAACGACTCACTGCAAAGAAGATTACGAGAAGGAAAAGCAGACGCAGCAGCGGAAGCAGCAGGAGAAGCCGCAGCAGGAGAAGCAGAAGAAGCAGCAGCAGCAGCAGCCGCAGCAGCAAACGATGCAGGACACCAAGAAGCAGCGAACGCAAGAGGAATATACACCTAGAATGTATATCTATCTATTTTCATAGACATGCAGATGCGTACATGCATACTTACGTATATACATACATTTATAGGTAGATACATACATACAAGTAGATAGTCTCGAGGAACAAACTATAGAGAAGCCCGCCCAGATTCAATTATATCATCATCCAACCGAACACGAAGAACCTACCACATGAAGAATACGGGAAGGAAGAACACGTAAAAGCAGCAGCAGCAGCAGAAGCGACTGTGGCGCCAGCAGAAGAGGCACAGGACAGAGAAGCGGCAAAAGCAGTACACCTCAGTCACAGCTCTGTATCACAACGGGACTGGCCTGCCTACCACCGCACAGGAGGAGAAAAGGAAAAGGAAGAAGAAGCAGAAGCTGCAGCAGAAGCAGCAGAAGAAGCAACGACAGCAGCAGCAGAAGCAGCAGCAGAAGCAGCAGAAGACCAAGCAACAGCAACAGCAGCAGAGACCGCAGAAGATGCAGGAGATTAGCGAGAAGCAGCAGAAGCAATAGGCCTATTACCTGTCCTTCTCCCTACGGTGTTACATCTACATATATATATATATATGTATACGTACACATGTAGATATGTAGACGTATATACGTGTGACCAGGTGGATGAACACCTGAGGCGGCGTATACATATCTAATCACACCGCCATTTCATCCGTCAATCATCATACTGACATATCATATACGCACCAAAGGAGTATATGTACTTGTACTGGTATCGCTTGCTGTTTCTGCTACTCGTGTTGTGCAGATAAGGGTGGAATGGCAGCAGCGACGTGCGTGATAAGGTCTCCTGTGGAGCGTTGAGGGATTTCGCTGACAAGTACGCAGCAGAGGTAGCAGCACTCCATTTCACCCGCCCTTTATGACACATGTTCGCCTTTTTCAATGGCACCAATATATATATATATACATATATATATATATATATATATATGCATACGTATGTATATGTATATATATACATAACTGTATCTGTATGAATATAAGCCGGAAACCTGCTTATTGTACACTTCAGTGCTTTAACCTCCCTTCATGACAAGTGCCCGCCTTTGTATATATCTCTGTCTACGTACTAGAGATATGCTTTCATAGATTTTCCTTTTTTTGTATTGCAGTTGAGACTTCTGTAGATCATCTTCCCCTCATTTTTATTGATATATACTCACCGTCGTATATCTTTCCCCACTCATTCCCACTGCTCAGAATCAGCGTCGTAAATGTAAAAAAGTGATGTACGTAAATCGTAAACCTTCCCTTCATTTGCTGCGGTATACGATCATCGCCTTAACCATTCAGAGGTGGTGTGTGCGGATCGTAGCATCTGACCGAGGCTCAGTATCGACGGTCATGCATACAAACATGTAGCCGCTCATTACGCGTTATGCTCAGGAAGAGAATATGCTGCGTGCTGTTGTCCTGACGTTTCACCAACACGAGATACGGACTGCAGCAGTCACAAGTACACGTGAACAATATATATATATATATATATATATATATATATATATATATATATATATATATATATATATATATATATATATATATATACGCACACAGGCATACACGTCTGCATGCATAAATATATACATGTTTGTATATGTACCTGTATATACTTATGTACATATATATATAGACACATGCATATATAGAGCAATAAGTCTACACATACATACATATATTAGTTTCAAGCCATGCACTTCCTCTTACTATCTGAGCATCTCACCATAAGCAACGTATCTGTTACAGGCGTGGACAGTGTATATGGTAGTAGACGAAATAAATGTATATATATATATATATATATATATATGTAGGTATACGTATATACGTAGGAATAGGCCCGTATATATGTAGAACTGAGAACGTAAAACTTCACTGTGATATATTATCGTAAGGCACTCACCTGAAAATTTTTTGTTTCTTCGATAAGTGCTTCAGGACTCATGCCGGTGTACATACATATACATATATATACATATATGTCTCTACATACACATATACACATGGACGTTCGTATTTCTGTAGATGCGGGGTTTTTACTATGATTCATCAATGCAGAGCCCTGACCTGAAAATTCTCCATTTTCTCGATGAACGTTTCAGGACTCATGCCAGTGCGAAATCGTACGATCTGTCGTCGTGGCTGCTGCTGCAGCCAGCCTCTGCCTGCCCCTCCTCCTGCTCCTCCTGCCGTTGCTGCTCTATCTGCTGTTGCTGCTGCTGCTGCGGAAGGTGTCTCCCACACGATCGCCCGGCAGTCACCATGGTCGCCCACGACCTCTACTCGTTCCACGAGTCCTCGCGCCACGTAGTTACTCAGAAATTCCTAAAATGACGGAGAAGAAGAGAGGAGGAAAGGAAGAAGAATAATGAGAAGAACAAGAAGAGGGGCAGGGAGGCGAAGGTGCAGTACAGATGAAAGATAAGGCATCAATTGGTAGAGAGGAACAAAGAGCTGGCGTACTACAGAAAAGAGAAAAGGCAAAGAAGAAGACGAGAAGGAGAGGAAGAAGAAGAAGAAGACGAAGAAGAAGGAGATGAACAGACGGATAAGCGAGAACAGAGAGGTGCAATACATTTGAACGAATAAGGCATCATTAAGGGAAAAGGAAGAAAGAGATGACACACTACAGAAAACAGAGGAGAGCCAACCGGCCGAAGAGAAAGAAGACGAAGAAGAAGAGAGCGTAAACGAAGAGGAGGAAGAAGGAAGAAAAGAACAACAACAAGAAGAAAAAGGACAAGAAACGCAAAGAACAGTTTTCCACAGACCACTGAAGACGCACAGGAAGGGATAACAGAATACAGAAAAGAGTAGAGGAGCAAGGAAAGCGAAAAAGAAGCGAAGAAGAGAAGGAGGAAGAAGAGGAAGAAAAAGAAGACGAAGAGGAAGAAGACGACGACGAAGAAGAAGAAGAAGAACAGGAAGAAGAAGAAGAAGGCGAAGAAGAAGAGCGAGAACCGGAAGACGCGTTCAATGTGAAAGAACTCCACGTCGATCGTACAAGAACAAAGGCGGCCACGACAACTGAAAAAATCTGAGAAGGGCAGCAAGAGAAGGGAAGAGACGAACTGATCGCATATATCACCTGCCTAGATAGCTCACACGTACCACCTGTACAGATGAGAAACAGGCAGTACATGCATAGAGGTCGAATATGTATTACTGCATAGATACCAAACATGTACTACCTGCGTAGATAACAAGTGTGCATTACCTGCACGAATATCAAACATGTATTACCTCTGTAGACACCAAATATGTATTACCTAATAGACGAAGCACGCATTGCCTACATATATACCAAACATGTATTACCTCCATACATATCCAAGGTGTATTATGCGCATCGATTCCACGCATGTATACGCGCATATATAACATGCACGTACTAAGTGCGTAGATAGGAAACACGTTGTTTCAGCATAAAAATCAAACACGTACTACTTGCACAGATATCGAATATGTATCGCCTGCATTGATAACGAACACGTATTACCTGCCTAGGTAGAAAGCATGCTGTACCTGAATAGGGACCAAATATGTATTACGCGCATAGATATCAAGCACGTATCACCTGCATAGATAACACTCACGTGTTACCTGCACAAATATACCACACATATGTCGCCGGCATAGACAGCAAGCATGTAGTACCTGCATGGATAACTGTCTTTGAGAGCTCTTTAGTAGTGTCCCAACGGCGAAACCCCAGACAGCAGCCCAGCAGAAGACCCTCAATATTTGTCGCTGCGCAGCCCCTAAGCCCCCGGGAGGTGGAGGCGGAGGCGGCGGAGGCAGCGATGAGTTATAACTGCCTTTGCTGCTGCTGGCGCTTGCTCCGGCTCTGGTTCTGCTGCCGGTGTTACTAGCACCTCCTCCTCTACTGGAGCGACCGGACTTTCCCTCCCCTTCGGCGTCTTCTTCTTCATCGTCTCTGCCTTTCCGCTGCTGCTGATCTCCTCTACTGGAGCGCCGATCTTCAGGATAGAAGTTCTCGAAACCAACAGGGCGACGCACAGGGGCAGATGATGAAGAAGAAGAGGGCCCGTCTCTGCTGCGATTGGCGAGAAGGACATATGACTTGGTGCTTATGCGTGGTCTACGAGGAGGTGATTTTGTCTCAGTAGGCGAGAGAATGAAGAGTCGCGAGAAGCTAGAAGCGAAGCCAGATTTAGCAGCAGGCACATCCCTGAGCTCTCTGAGGAACATACGCTGCAGCACGTGAGACGTCAGAAACTTTTTCAGAAAACGTGTGGGTCTGCCGTGACTCGCTAGTGCGGCGAGTGTAGAGAAACTGGAAGGGAGAGAGAAGGATGAGGAGGAGGAAGATGAGGAAGACACAGAAGTGTGCAGCTGCTGATGCCGCTGCTCGCGAGTCAAGAGACGACGGAAACGACGCAGGGGAAGAAGTGAACCGCGCACGACAGTGGGAGCAGAAGAAGCACAAGGACATACTTTGTTGACTGGAATGTTGGAAGAGCCTACATTCCCCGTGGTAAGGGAAGAGTACCGTCTACCTGGTGGCCACATACAGCGAAGGGCAGACGGTGAAGCGCTGGAGGCAGAAGAGGGTAGCGCTCGGGCTTCTACATGCGAAAATGAAGAGGAAGAGGCCCTGCATAATTTCGGGGACGGCGCTGATGCGGATGATGATGATTGTGACGATGTGGAGAAGTCGCAGTGTGATCTACTTCGAGGAGTATACTTCGTGTATATGCACCACTGCGGGGGTACTCCTTCCACCCGCGATGGGATCTTCGAGCGCGTAGGCGGAGGAAAGGAGGACACGACAGGAGGCCCGCGCCATGTTAGTAGCGAGCGCCTGGAAGGGGAGTGGAGAAGCGAAGAACGCAAGTGCGCCCCCATTTGCTGAAAGAAAAAGGAAAAGGACAATGATTTACTACTTTCTCCGAAAGCGTAGCGCGGAAGTAAAGGCAACAGCTGCGCACGTGGTGCCCCCCACGGACAGCTGGTGAAAATACCAGCTCTGCTGGCTCACCCAGCTAGCGAAGAAAGGAAGGCAGAAAGCAAGGGACAGAACGTTACGGAGAACGAGACCCTAACACAGAGATAACTGCACGGCATTCTCATTAGCAGGGCATGAAGGAATTGAAGCATGAACAGAAAAAGAGGAATCAATGTAGCAGACCAATGAGGACAAATTGATTTACAAAGGCCTCCTACGTGCGGGGGGAGTAAACGGCATCATAAACACCGTGACGTAGAAGCGGACCCCGGAATACAAAGACTTACGCAGCCGTCTGATTTGGACGGCACGCGGGCACAAAGGACGGCCGGAGAAATCAGGAATAGACGTGGAAGCCGACTGAAGACAAACACGCCGACGAAAGCCTTCTATTGTAGAGGAGAATGCACAAGGCAAGGGACAGAAGTGACGGAGAAGGACAACCTGGAAAAAGGAAACTGCGCGACATTCTGATTCAACCGACGTGCGGACATGAAGACGGCTAGGAGACGATGAAGAATATACGCGGTAGTCCAGCAAAGACAAACATACCGAGGAGAGCTTCCTATTATATACGGCAAGATCGAAGGGAAGGGAAAAACGTCACGCAGAAGGACAAGTCAGATTGAAAAAACTACGCAGCGTCCTGATTTGGAAGCCGTGCAGGCGTTGAGGAAGCTAGAGGGAAAAAATGAGGATTCGGAACGGTGAAAGAAAGATATATCAGCTCCGGAGAGAAACATATACGTAAATGCCTTCTACCTTCTAGGGACGCCAGCGAGCGATTGCAGTGCCTAGTCGCAAACTGAGGTGTCCATACGCCTCGATCTACGGCGAAACAGATCGCGGCTACCTGCCCTCTCATAGAAAAGACCGGCCACAAACGAGTCGCAACTAGGAAGGCTGGTCAAAAAATGCGTGCACCGTCTTCCCACTCGCCAATATGAGGACTAGGCGGCTATAGGCACACCGCTGTCCTTGATCGGCGTGAAGGAACAAGCGTCGTGCACACCTCTTCTCCACAAAACAGTTCACAAGCGGGTATTTCTTTAGATTGGAGAATAGGCCGACGGCTGGAAAGCTTTGCTTCGGGCTACCCCGGCCGGCATGCGCATGCAAGGAGGTCCGTCTGTGGGAGTAGCGACCACCAAGTATGCCCGTCGCCTCTTCTAGTAACGCGAGACGGGCATCGAGGGGCAGCCGCCACCTCTCAAATAGGGCATTCTGCGTGTATCCCTCTCCCCCAGGGTGCACCTCAGTTTGTGCTCTAGGGAATGAAATCATAGAGGTTAGTTACATATGCACGTAGACGTGTGCCAAACCTGCTCTGCGGTATCATGGAGGACCACCGCTGTGAGGCGTATAGCAAACCACGGCTAGCTCTTCAGCAGCAAACATTTCGTCCAGCTGTTCTCAAGGGCTGACTTCAGTTGGTGCTCCAGCGGGTGGAATCATAGATGCCAGTCGTTGTAGTATGGCCTTCAACTTTTTCTTCAGCGGTTGGAATCATAGCTACCAGTCACCGCTGATATGGGCTTCCACTTGCGCTCTAGCGCAATCATCCTCGACGCCTGTCACCGTGGGTAGAGACCACCGCTGAGAGAGGAATGCCAAGGTCGAGTACATAGCAGACACCTGTTAGCTCTTCATCCAGTTGGTCGCCGATTCACCACTGCCGGTCAATTCCGGCTTCAGCGGGTAAAATCGTAGATGTTAGTAACTGTAGATACGTACCACCGCCACTTAGTGGCAGATCAGCGCGTAGAGAGGAGTACCGCGGCCCAATTTGTGCGTCAGCAGACGAAATGATAGATGCCAGTCACAGTAGATACGGACGTAATAACGGTCCCCGGCATTCAGTGGTAGATCAGCGCTCAGAGAGCAGTACCACGAGTTGGATGAAGAAATCATGCATGCCTGTGGCCGGTCACAGCAGATACGAACCACCGTTGGTTAGCGGTAGATCAGTGCACAGAGCGGGCACGACGGTCGGCTGTACAGCAGACAGTGGCTAGCTCATAAGAGCGAGCTGTCCGTGTACTCGTTCTCAAGGGGGCACCGCGTGCGCGCCAGCCGCTGAAATCATAGGTGGCAGTCACGTGGATATGAACTCCAGTTTGTGGTTCAGCAGATGAAATCATAGAAGATAGTCACAGCGCAGATGGACGTAGATACGTAGCACCCGGCCTCAATGGACGACCAGCGCTCAGAGAGGAGTAGTACACCGGGGCGGCGTATAGCAGACGCTTGTTGGCTCTTCATCGAGCTGTGCGTCTGCCCGTCCGTCGAGGGGTGCACTCGGTTTGTGCATCGGCGGGGGAACCGTCAAAGGTGCTAGTTACCGTAAAGACGTACCCTTCCTGCTCAGTGATAGTTCAGCGCTGAAGGAGGAGTATCAGTCTCAACGGCGCCCAACAGACATCACCGGGTCCTTCAGCGAGGTTTTCTTTTGCGCGTGATCGAGCGTGCACTTCAGTCTGCGCATCAGCGGACGAAACTAGGGATGCCTCCGTGCATACAGCAGGCGTGGTCCCTTCCGCGCTTGGGGCGGTTTACCGCTCAGAGAGGGGCGGTGTAACCTGGTGAAATACGGCCCGAGTATCTCCCGGGTGGCTGAAACTTTACCTGCATACTAAAAGAAATCGCTGAGGAGAGGTACTACTGCTGGCAGCAGTCAGTTCTTCATCGGACTGTCCGTCTAGAGTTCTCGCCGTTGGCTGCAGTTTACCATGCTTCGGCGTATAATCTCTGTCATAGTGGCTATGTACCACCCGCGCTTAGTAGTAGGTGAGCGCTCAGAGTGGATTAGTACACCCTGGCGGTGTACACCCAACGTGTCCCCGCTGAGCCACCGTGCAGCCGGGTGCTCTCTGTGCGGACGTTGACGGCGCGTCGCGTCCGGCTGCGCCCTTGAAATTTCGCAGAACCACACCAAGAAGAAGCAGGTGCGACTCTGCCCTATGTACGGCTTACACACGGATAAATCTAGCGAGTATTACCATAGAATAGCCACCGGAGGACGCCGGCACTCACAGCTGAGGGTCTTTCCACGCGCCACGTTGAGATACTCAGGATACGGTGAAGAAAAGCATTGAGCTTTGGCAGCGTGTCTTCCCTCGACGCTCCCTGTTCACTCTAAGCGTTTTCCAGGGCCCGCTCCCCTACTTTCCTTTCCGCTTCGGGAGCATGGGGGCTGTGGTCTCTATGGTATGAACGAGCCGGCGCCTGCGAACAGAGGTCACGTATCCTCAATGGCAACGCGTGTCTACCCTTTTGTAGCAGCTTTCGTCCGGGTGGCAGGTAATAGCTTCCGCCTTGATGGTACGGACTGTCTAGTTCGGCAACGGCGGAGAGCAGAGCAAGCCGAGGGAGACGTGTAATTGGACCGTGCATATGCGTGCTGCAAGCCATATTGCCTAGGCATATACGGTTTCCTTGCTATCACAATTGGTTTTCCTGCGGGGGAGACACGACCCCTGCATATGAGGGAGGCAGCAGCGGGCATTCGCAGCACCATGAGACGCGGCAGCAGGGGGAGAGGAATGTCGAGTGCTGTCAAGCCGGCGCACGGACAGCGCCGAATAGAGGGTTAGCGGGGCTGTGAAGAAGAGTCTGTCAGATCGCGTGGTGTGGATGTGCGAAGAGAAGGGAGGCGTAGACTCGCGGGGCGGTGTGAGAGACATGAGTATCCGGAAAGATATGGAGCGTTAGAGAATAGCAACTCTCTTGCTAGCGGAGCTGTGCACAGGCAGCCGCAGAAATGTATATAGCATACATATGTACGTATGTATGCATATGACTCTAGCCTGAGGGTCCGAGGAGCCTTCCGCTGCCGAAGCAGGCGGCTGTCACACTGTCGGGGCGCCTCAGCGACGTGCTACGCGACGAGCTCGAGTACACGAGAGAAGCGTGCGTGACCGTCGTGACTATGTATATATCTCCATCGACTGAAATAGGCCGCTATTTAGCGTTAGACGTGGATGCTGCAGACATCCGCGGGCCGCGCGCGGCCGGTGGCTCTCCTGTGTGGACGATGTCGCAGCTGGATGCGTCCGCCTCTAATGTCTCTGCCCTGCAGAAATTTACTGAACGACCTCGTTCCGACGTATCCAGACGGGACCTACAGCGGAGTCATACATTTGCCGCATCCACTTAAAGCCGCGTTGAATGCTTCTTCGTTCTGTCCACGTTACCTCTGAACAACCTCATTCCGACGTGTTCACACGCGAGCTACAGCGAAAGTTATTCATTTACCGCATCCACTTAAAGTCGCGTCGGAGGCTTCTGTGTTCTGTCCACGTAGCTCTGACACGCTTTGGAGGTGTGTCTTCAGACGCACGGAATTCTTCACCTTCTGTGCGTCCAGCGCCTGATAAGCTGCTAGAGAGTGTACCCGCACGGCCACTGCGCATAAACAGTACCGTACATAGTGATGCGCATGATCTGCATTGCAGGGCACTCGCAGCGGCGGCAGACAAACATAGGCAAACAGATGTGTGTATGGATACACGCTACGAATAGGGCTAAAGCTTGTCTGATTCGTCAGTAAGCACGCGCACACACCTGCACACCAAGATGCACAACATCTTGAAGTGCACTTTGGGCGGGCTGTAGGCTCCTAGCAGCCATGCGGCAACCCCGCCAACAGCAGATACCTGAACCTAGTTTGACGCAGCAGTGGCGTACAAGCAGTAAAACAGCTCCGGAGACGGCAGCAAGGTCGCGTATGCCAGCGGCGGCACGCCAGCGCAGCAGACACGCTATAGCATGACGTCAGGCGCTGCTGTACTGCATGGCCACAGCAGCAGGACAGGGCAGTAGAGCAGGGGGTGTCTGATAGTACCAGTACTGAAGACCTTGGGGCTGAGGCGGCGGTGAACGGTGCCACGTAGGTGTAATGTCAGCGCGGACCAGATTGTCAACGAGGCTAGGAAGTGGAACGTTGCCGATGCGCGCGGCTGCTCCTATGTGAAGGAAAAGAAAGAGCGAGGTTTCAGCGAGGCTAGGAAGACGAACGGTGCCGATGCGCGCGGATGCTCCTCTGTGAAGGAGAGGGAGGTAGAGTGGCGGGCCCCCGCGCGCCCGAAACGCGGGTACTGGACTGATAGCGGATTCCGGAATATGCGCCCTCTCAATAGTGGAGCTGCGCAAGAGACCTCCAAATATATATATATATATATATGTATAAATACGTGGAAGTGCATCTACTCTGAGCCTTGCCGTGCAAGGTTGGGTGGTCCTCCGCTGCAGAAGCAAGCTGCTCCTGCAAGGCACCCCTGTCTTCGCGGTGCTAGGCAAAGGGCGGTGCACGCTCGGGGGTATGTGACTGTTTTCGCTGCGTGTACGTCTGCAGTGACTGGCAGACACTTACATAGAGTCTGACGTGGATGCAGCAGACAACAGCAGGCCGCGTGCGGCCGCTGGCCGTCGCGCGTGAGCGATGTCTCGATTGAATGGGTCTGGCCTTAGTTCCCTCTGGCTAGAGAAAGCCTTCAGAAAAACACGTTCTGTCGTGGCATACACAGCATAGGTTTTATATGAGCCGCACCCGTGCGAACGTATCCTGGAGGGACTTTTTTCTGCTGATCTTCGCCAGAGAAATGCGCGTTCTGCAGTCACTTGGCGTACGCGGGGGGGTTTCTGCCCTCTGCGTCCAGCGGCCGCCATCGCGGGAGACTGTGCGCAGCTGTGTGCACCGTAAGTACACGAGACCACACCTGTACGCGCGCCATAGCTGGGCGAACACCGGTGCATCTCACGGGACTCGCAGCGCGGCCAACACACAAGCGTAGACAAGCACATAATCGCAGACATAGACGCCTCAGATAGATATAAGAATAGCATCCTCTGTCGGTGCGCCGGCGGACGCGGGCACTCGATCGTGTATACGGACTGAAGCGTGCAGCCTGTGCTACCGGCACACTTTCGGCGTTGACGCAGCCACCAGAGCAACAGCAGGCTTGCTATGCTGGCAGACCAGGAACTGCAGTCTATCTATCCGGAGCAAAACAGCAGCTGTAGATTTGGAAGCGGCGTTGCGCGTGCCGGCGGAGGCACTTAAGTGCAGCAGACATCGCACAACGTAGCGTCCGGTCCCGTTGTAGAGCGTGGGGACTGGAACCGCATCACAGGACGGATTCGATGTACAGAACATCCGGCTACCAGACGATCCCTGGGGTTCTCCGGCTACGAGAGAGCGGCGACGCGGAGGATTTAAACATCTTCCTCCTGATTTCGCAGAGCTTTCCTAGCCCGCGGGTCTTTAGCTAGAAGGAGTAGGTGTGAATTGGTGACTGTCAGCACGTGGTGCGGCAGTGGTGCTCCAAGCTGGTCAGGACGGGGGGGTCATAGCGCGGAACACTAGTGACGGCTTTCGCACCGCTTCATCGAGCAGAAGGCCTGCTTCCCTGCGCGCCCTGTGTCTGTGCAGACGTCGTCTTTGCTTCAGCTTCTGAGGCTCGATGACGTGCGGCATCCGAGGGACACAAGCTGTCGCCGTGCAGGGCCGCACCCAGAGTGGACGAGCGGCTGCTGCGTGCGTCACTGTGGGGTTATCGTGCTTTGTCTATGTTGCGAGAGGGGCGAACCTGACGGTAAGAGATCCGGCAGGTATTCCTCGTCCTGAGGCCTCTCCAGGCAGGTGGTGCTGTCGGCACTGTTCCACCTGCAGTGAGTCTAGGCGGACAAGCTGTCAAGCAGACGATTTTAGCAGCTCAGGACGACGGTGAGAGCTGTTTATAGGCAAGAGCCCGGTTCCCCCAACTGCCAGACGTTCGTAGACAGGTTTAAAACTTAACGCGCGTGTATGCTCTTTGGTCCTCGTGCTCGTTCACGCCTTCTAGAGGAGTGCCGCTCGGCCTCTTGCTTGCGATACTAACGGTGCGGCAAATCCGGTGGCACCTGGGTCAAGCTGGGCCGTCCCTTCCCGGACTCGCAGCCCCTACAGAAGGCGCGGGGGGGCCGCAACGCGTGCGCCGTCAGGGGGGTAGACGGGGGGGCGGGGGGCGGCGAAAGCCAGATTCCCCTGCACCGCGCCAAGATTCGAGGCCAGATGTTGCTACCACGGCGGACACCGCAGCAGCGGCTGCTCTTCCTCGAGCGGCTCCTGTAGGCGGGAGGCACCGTCCTCCACGCCAGCCTTCGCTTCCAGTATGGGAGGCGTCACGTCTTAGCGCGGATTCTGGTGTGGTCAATAGCGTACGTCTCCTGCGCGCGCGCCTTGGACTGCACGTTATACATCAAACAATGCCTGCGGACTTGCTCGCCTCTGACCATTCACTTCTGCGGACCCCGCGCCTTCTCCTTCGGTTTCTGCACACACTTATGCGGTGCTACGCTAGCATGGAGGCGCGCGGCCTGCATCCTTACGTTCCAAGTCTGTTGAGGGAGCTCACTACTCCTTCTGTCGACTCCTTCATACGAGTCTCAAGTCGGAGAACTACAAGTAGCCGGGGCGTGTCCGTCTTTTCACGCGTACTCCGCCACAATTTCTTGCTGTCACCTCTAGTCTATACCATGCCTCAGCTCCACGCAACCGACGTCCAACCTGATCCACGTGAGAGGCCAGCTGACAGCAGTGCAGTTGTGATTGAACCGGCTGCAGGCGACGAGCCCGCGCTTTCGGGCATCTGTCTGAAAGGCATCTCGGCTTCCCAGAGCACCAGCTGGTGCTTGCTAGACGAGAAGGGGGCAGGCGAATGAGGATGGTGAAGCAGTTGAAGAGCAGCAGCCAAACTCAGATTAGGCTGATAAGCGAAGGCCCGCTATCGTATGCTTGTGCATATGTGGCGGCTCAGGTCAATGTATCGACCCGCTAAATAGGCGCACGTGGCAATATTACTAGCGAGAATCGTAGATGAGCTCGACTATCCCAGCGAGCTAGAGCTCCCATGTGACCTGCTGAAGCATGCAATACCTGGCTCGCGGACCCTCGCTAATGGGAGCATTGGGCGCTTTTCGGCGTACATCGGGCCTTCCTTACAATGTCGCACCGCCGATACTCTCTATTTCACACACGCGCGGCTGGCAGTAAGAGAGCATCCCTTCGGTAGACACGTGTTTTGGTCTTACACGGGCGTTCGCCGCCGCGGCACCAGCGGCTCACTTCTGAGCAGGGGCAGCGCGAGGCTGCTCTCGTTGGCATACCTTCTCTCAAGGATACTACGGCTACTGCTGCTACTACTCCTTCTCCCGGGTGTATGTCTGCGGCGCGACCACGAGAGGGCTGATGACAGAGGAGTCATTCTCAACCTACCGTCCCTGTCACCGGCGAGCAAGCGTCCCCTCGTGTGGGACCATTCCAAAAGCCGCTTGCTCCCTCTCGCGGCATATCGTGAGACAAATCCTGCAGTTCCTAGGCCAAGCCCGCTCTTAGGTGGCAGGCTGCATCCCCAGCGCGCTTCCGATATGCTGGCTACCGGAGGAGCTAACGTCTAATCTACTTCTAGGCGAGGCGTCCAGCGAAGAGCTCGTATTCTCTCTTTGGCGCGCGTTCCGCGTAACATAGCTCACTTTTGCCTGCGCAGCGCGCGAGCGTTAGGATGGTCGTGTCTGCTGCGTTGGCGCGTCAGTTGTCAAGGCTTCTACAGCGAATAGGGCCCTAGTCTGTTAGTCTGGCTTCGGCTTCGCTGCCTTTGCATAAGATCTGGTAGCTGTTGCTGCTTTTTTTCGCATAGGAACAGAGACGGAACCAAAGAGCCTGCGTGTAGCCGCAGCGGCTGACGTGAGCGCAGCACGCGGTGCTTGCACTGGAGGCGGAGCAGGCGGACACGGAAAACAGGAGGCCCACCATCTGCGGCAGCAATTCCTGCACTGGGCGGCGTCGCAGGGAGGAAAGGCGGAGGTAGCGGGCCAGCTCCCAACAACCACAACAACAGCCCGAGAAGCACGAGTGAAAGTCGGGTATCTATATGTGAGAATGCCGTGCTGTGAAAGGCGCGGAAGATTATCTAACCAGCGCGGATTCTGTGAATGTCGGTCGCAAGGGCGGCACGTTTGCGACACATTCGTGCCGGGACCCATGGCTGCACGGTGGATGGCTGACACCCCCCTCTGTCGGCACGGAGGCTTTCTCCTTCTTCTTAAAGCGCGCGGGGACTAACCACGCGACAACACGATCCTCTCACCGAAAGGGTCAAGATCTGGCCGACTGCTGCTGGCGCTCGAACTTGAATCTGTAGCCTAGGTGACGGACTGGAGCTGCGCACCCCTGAGACGCCGCCAACGGAATGTAATGCAGGATGGCGCCCGTGTACATCATATACATGAGTATAGACGCTTTCTTACGCGCGTGTCATGCCGGTGCCACGCATGTGAAAGCATGGGACGGACGACGTTTCCTGCTGGCTGGGTTCTTTTCCTTGACCTCCAGAAGGCCCACAGCTCCGTGCAGTTATCAACCGTCACTGCCGTTTTCCAAACTGCCGCCGTGCGCAGTTCATATTACGCCTCTACCACGTCTGCAGGGAGGTCCTGCATGTGACTCCTGCGCTACGTGCTTGCTGTTGTATGCCTATTATACGCCCGCTCTATGAGTATGAGACTCTCAATCAACGCGTACGAACAGGGCCAAGCTTTCCGCGTACGCCAGCTCCGTGACGAGGCTATCGTCCTGCCCACTGCGTGAAGGTAGCAGTGGTGGACGTAATCCAGGGCATGCAGAAGGGAAACCACATACATGACGAAACTATCACACTCCCCTCACGCACGGAGAGAAGTCCTGGATAAACCAGCCCCACGACGAGACTATCATACTACCCACATTCGTGTGAGGTCAGCAATGGTGAAGTTGCCGCACCGCGCTGCAGCTCCGCGACGAGACCATCACTCTTTGCTGGCGAACAGCACGCTCTGCGTAAGCCAGCTCCGTCACGAGGCCATCATACTGCCCACTTCTGCGTAAAGTCAGCACTGGGTGACGTCGCTGCAGCCCACGTGACACAGACTTGAGTTCCGTGACGAGACTATCACTCTATCCTTGGGACTACTGTCAAATCGTGGATAAAGCACCTCTGCGGCGAGACTGCCATACTACCATCTTCTGCGTGATGCTACCGCTAGTAGACGTAGCCACACCCCTCGTAATAAAAAAACCAGCACCAGCTTCATGACGAGACTACCACCCTGTATTGCGAACAGGGACGAGCTCTGCATACATAAGCTTTCTGACATAGACACCACCTTACCCCTTAGCACGAAGACAAGCCCCCACTTGCACTGGGGGCAGACAAGCACAGGTAGACAGATGTTTCTTTGAATGCACGCTACAAACACGGCTAAAGCTAGTGTCACTCGTCAGTGAGCACGCGCACACACTTGCACGCCAAGGTGCGCAATGCCTGAGACCTGCGCTTTGTGCGCGCTGTAGATTATCAACCTATCCTTGCTACCAGGGACACGCTCTGCATAGACTAG